CCAATAGTCCATTATAATTCCAATTATTTTCTTCACTTCTTTGGCTATTAACTGGTCCTGCCAATGTCATAGAATATGAGCAGCATTAAAATTCAAATGTAATCCTAATCTATATTCTTATTCCATTGGAGGGGTTCCATGGATTTTCTCTCAATTAAAAACCCTGTGGCATAATGAAAAAATTTGTTCCACCAAAGCCAAGTCCTTTTTGCGAAAATTACAGCAAAGCATAATGAAATTCACTAAGTTGGAGGTATAGTTAGGTTAGGGAGAGGATCGAAAGGTGGAGGTCGGGCGTGCAACAATGGTAAGTCATATGTCGTGATTTCGAGTTTGAAAATCAATCTCTTCAAAATAGTAATAAAATTGTCTATCACTTACTACTCCAGATACTATTATAGACTAAATTTTTTAGAAAAGACTCGTATTTGTTTAAAAATATTTATCCAATCATGTAGAACTTACCAAAGGACAACCTCTTGAGGGACAAGCCTGAAATTTGCTCCATGACATCACCAAGGAATAGCTTATGGCTCTCTTCCCCTAACCATAGATCCAACATGTAATTGCTTTAGGATAGATTACAAACCCTATCCCTTGGTGGTCTTTCTAGTGCATTTTAAAGCATTTCAAGTGTTAAACTAAAATGGAATGCACCAATACAAAGGATGATATTACATTTTGTGGTCAGTAAAACCTTTGCTAGAAAATTTATGGTGAAATATATCAAAGCCATCCTTTACCCTTTTTTTCTTGTGGTGTAACAAATATATAACTATCCAGCAAGTAGCAGTATTCCAAAAGCCTCCAAACGCGTCTTAATTTATCTTTTTAATTAGAAAATCAGATTATGATAGGGAGGGCTTGAGAAATATTTTCTCCTAATTTGCTTTGTCATCATATTTTTTCAATTTAACATCAGATTTTTTTTTAATTCTCTATTTTATCTCTAATTATTATTATAAAATTAATTATACCCACATATTTACTTTCCTCAAATTTTTATTTCCTATACTTATTTGACTTCAAATTCTTTTGAACTCTTTTATTAATTCTATTTGACTTTTATATTCTTTTGAACTCATTTATTAGGTTATCTCCATTGGAAACCCATACCTTTATTCAAATTTGAGTTTTAAAAAAAAAAGGCAAAAAATTTGATTTGATATAAACCCCTCCAATAGAGAAACTTAAATTTAATGGAAGAGAAATTCAAGTTTAAAAAAAGGTAAATATGACCATTGGATCTTTATAGAATGGTAAAATCTTACTATTAAAAATTTAGGTATAAATTTAAGTTTCCCTTAATTTGAGCAAAAAAAAGTCTCCGTTGATTTGATATGGGTATGGGTCTAACATTAGAGAAGATTTTTGGAGTTTTTTTTATCCAAATTTAAATTTGGGTTTAAAAAAATGTAAAAATTGGAGATGCTCTTAGTAATACATTTATATACAATTTCTTATACCTATGTTTGTAATTATATAAAAAAGTAAAATTAATTTATATTCTATTCGTATATACACGTAGTTATCAGATTGAATTCTCCAATCAAATATATGTTATATTTTTTTTTTGATATACAACAATATCATAATATTATAATACAAATAATAGTATTAGAATCTAATCAATCTATTTGACAAAAAAAAATGTAATAAATATATAATATAATCAAATGTGCAAATACTCAAGAATGATAATTTTAAAATGAAATTCCATTATAAACAAAAGAAAAAATGTCTGAAGGGATCGGGGAGTTACCTAAAAAAATAGAAGATTAAGTACTCAAAGAGGGGTTAACTAAATCAATAATTAAGTTTAACAATAATAAAAGTAAAAATTAATTACTTGACACATAATTTGCTATTTAATGAAACGACACTAAGGTGGGATGGGGGATTGCAAATTACCAACATTGCATGGATCCACTTGTATCATATAAAAAGTTCACATCCTCTTTCATATGCCCTATATAATATATATTCCTTGAGGGGGTCTATAGTCATTATAAACCAATACAACCAAATAGACAATTGTACTTGTTTCTACTCTAAACAAATAGTATACACTAAAACGATTAATAACTTTGATAAAACTGATTGATAATCCATTCACTTTGTTTATTTATAGTCTACCAACTAAAAAAAAAAATCATTATATAAATAAATTCCATGGCAATTAGTTGGGGTTATTTACAATGATACCAGTGGCGAGGCCACTAAAGGACTCCCTCAATCTTTTTTCCTTCGTATTACATATGCATAAATATTTTAGGAAAAATTACACTTATGAGATTTGTTATGTAGTTACTTAAATTCTTTGACATTTGAAATTTTATACATAAACTCTTTAAGTGTATTACACGCATAATATTTAGACATCTGTCGTCATTATCCGTATATATATATATATATATATTCATTAGTAAATATAGTTAAACTCCCTAAAGTTTATAGGCGTGCAGGGGTGGCTCAACAAGATTTGAGGCCTAAAACAATGACGTTTAATAATAATTTAATTTTTTAATTTAAAATCTATTATTTTTATTTTTTGATGAGATTTAAAATTACTAATTTTTTTATTTAAATTTTGCTAATAATTTTTTTTAATTAATAATATAACATTTGATCATAAATATTTATAGGAATAAAATTAATTTCTTCATTAATATTTTTATGTTCTTTTTATTTGTTTTATATGTTCTTTATCAAAACTGTGAAATTAAATGATTAACTTTATTATAAATAAATTCATTATTATCTTTCTTTTGAATTAATTTACTATTTTTGAATTTTATTTATTTATCCATGCAGCTTTCACCTAAGTTTTTGTTATATTTTATTTGTAACGAATAAGAATTTTATCAAAACATTTTTTTTAATGAAGATGAATGGTTTAATTGGTATTTTGTGTTCAAATGAGAAAAAAAAAACAAGTTTAAGAGAAGTAAATAATGTGTTTGATTTTGATTTTTTTTTACTAAAAAGAGATTTTTATTACACTTCTTTCGATTGAAAAAAAAATAGATTTTATCAGTATTTTTTTAATTAATCTTTTTTGTTCTTTAATAAATGTGATTGTGTGATGAGGTCTGAACTTTTAGGCCCAAATTTTTAATTTTTGTGTTGGAAAATTAATTTTTTAGGCAATATTATAGTAAATTTTATTTTATAAGTTTTATATTATTATTAATTTTTAAATTTTGGGCCTTTTTCGTATGTGAGGCCTAAAGCCCCCGCTTTTATTTCTAACCTATATGGCTGGCCTGGTAGGCGTGTGTAAACTACTAATTAAGATTTTTTAAAGAAAACTGAATTTATATTTTTGATTTTATTTCAATAAATCAAAAATATTTATAATAAAATTTAAATATTAATTATAAAATTTAAAATATTTAATATACTACTTTACTCCTAAAATATTTGATATACTTGTTTAAAATTTAAAACTTGTAATATTTAAACTTTTCAAGTTTTAAATATTTAGACTCCTTAAATTTAAAATACTTAGACACCTCAAGTTTATAATAATACCATTTCTCAACTTACTTTACAAATCCAAATCCACCAAACATCATAATACCTGAAAGATGCATTTGTTCATGATAATAACAAATAATATCGAAACCCCACCATTGAATTATGGGTAGAAGGGATCGAATTACACTTTACTCGCAGAATCGATTCTTTTCCATCTCTCTCCTCTAAAATTCCAAAAATCTAATAATCTAAATCACCAAAAGATTTAAAAACACAAAACCCATCTTTGATCCAATAGTACGAAGACTTCACCTCGTCAAGGGTTCAAATCTCTTTTTCTCCCTCTCTCTCATAAATATATATATATATATATATATAATATATGTAGAAAGAGGTAGAATCCTAGCAGCCGCAACAAAGGGCAGCTTGGAGAAAGACGGTAGAAAGAGTGAATCAAAAGAAAAGAAGATCGAATTAGGGGAAGAGAAGGAATGAGAAAGGGTGTAAAGGTGGAGGTGGTAGCTCCTCTCCCGTGGGAAAAGGTGTAACGGACCCAAGCTATTCATTTGAAGTAACATGCGAGCAAAGCTTCGCCCTTCTGTGGAGTTCTGACTCATCATCATCTTTCCAAAATTTTCTTCCCACCATGGAAGGGTATGCATAGATAAGGGAAAGAACGAATTGGTAGTTTACAGAGAGTTGTGTCAGTATTTGTATAATCGATGGTTTTCGTCTACCGACGAAGAGATAGCCGAAGAGAGGGAATAAAATTTGTGAAAAAACTTGATATCAAATTTAAATTTCAGATTTTATAGGAAATGATTTTTTATTAATCGTGAATAAACAATAACTATTTAGAAAATTAATTTAATATTGAAGATTATTTTTAAGTCATAAGAAAGGTATTTTGGAGTTTTAAAAAAAATAGTAGACTTAATTATCTATACTCATAACCCGTACCTGAAGGCACGATAAAATATAAAATTCGAGCGTCTAAAAAATCGATCCCATTATATTAAATTTTTTGAAAATATATTAACTACAAATTAATCAAATATTAAATAATTAAATATATAATAAAAATGAGTGATGTGATTTTTTAAGAAAGAAATATATAAATAATTAAATATATAATAAGAATAAGTGATATGATTTGACGTTTGAGTCTAATAAAGTGATGATGAGTGAGGTAAGTGATTAGTGACGATTTTGAGAGGAAAAATATGACTGAGACAAAATTCAAATACGCTCCTATTTTATTATATAGATTAATAAAATTAAAAATAAATTTATCTCCAAAATAAAGATCCTTCACGAATTACACTCGTTATAAGTCCCTCAAATATGATACAACCTAATTTTCACTATATTTATCTACTTTGAGATGATCTCACAAAGCCCAAGCCCATCAAAAATTACTTGCAACCCCAGCCCATGACTGAAGAACACTATCCGCCCTAAAGCGCCAACAAACCGTTTGAAGTTTTGAACTTCACACACACACACACATTCTCTCTCTTCACAGAGCTTTCACAGTTCCTAATGGATCTTCATCAAGCCCTAGCGCCACCAATTTGAAGCATCTCTCTCTCCAATAACGGAGATGCCTGTGAGATTAGTCCGATGGACGGGGAGGCTAACCTTCCGGCCCCACCACTAGTGACCAAGAGCAGCAATCTGATCCGTCCGATCAACCAAGATTTTAATCAGTCCCGTTCATTCACTTCAGCATCTTCATCTTCGTCATCATCCTTCTCTCCTTCCTCGCCGCCGGGCTTCCTCCGGCATGTTCAAGCCGCCTTCAAGCGCCACCGTCCCATCGGTATCTAAACCTTCCATTTCTCTTTCTAGGTTCCCTTGCTCTGTGCTGAGTTGAAAATTTTTAAGTTTTAATTCTTTAATTTCGGGTTTGTTTGAATCTCTGCTAAGTTTTATACGTTAAAAATGGAAGTAAATTTAGGGGCACCCTGAAGTCAAATTTAGGTTTTAGTTCACTGAATTGGAAGTTTTAGGGGTTTTTGGTTCTTTGTCGTGCTAATTTGTCAATTTTGAATTTTCTGTGTGTAGGCTGAATGTGAAACTAGGGTTTTTTAAATTACTGAAATTTGAGGCCATTGCTTAGGGTAGTGATAAAATGCAGTGGTCAGGACTCAGGCCCACAACTCTGAGGGTGTGGCTATGAATATGAGGGAAGCCACCATATGCAATGTATTCAATTCACTGCTCCCAGACCAGACCAACCTTGGTAATTGAGATTTGGCTAGTGAAATTTAGTTTATTTTCCTGTATCATTGATCACTTTGAAATTTGGCTATATTTGCATCGAATTCTCTCTGTAGTGGCTTCATTACGTCGTGCTGAAAGTAAAATATATGCTTCCTTGTCTCTCTACAGTACTGAAAACACAAACTTTAGGCTTTTATTTGAAGTTTCTTAACATTAATTCTAGTATCTTTGTATAGGCTTCTATATGTTTCCCTTGAAGTAAGAGCTAAAATCTTAGTTTTATTTTGAATTTTGTTATATTTGCTTCCATGGCAGCTCTTTCATTTGATAATTTGAGGTTCAGGGTCAGTTGTTTGTTCTGAGTTTTGTTGTGTTTATTATGAGTTAACTGTAGGTACAATGCAGCCAAATAGTATCAGGCCAAGGCGTTTATTGAATCCTCAACTAGAAACATCAAAGAGCTCAACTTTAAATTTGGACACCAAGAAGTCCCAAGATGAGCTTGCACTTGGTCATAGAGAGAGGAATTGCGCTGCGCAGACAAAGAACATGGTCTCTGTCACTCACAAAGCTCAAGAAGATGCGTCAATTACAGCTCCTTCGCTATTAGGCACCATAACAGATTTGAATGAGCACAATAATAAACCTTTTGAAATTCACAGAGATCGACCTAGACCCGCTACTGATTGCAAAAACAATGATACAGTTTCTTCGCTGCTTATAGAATATGAACATTTTCCAGCGGTTGAAGGTCAAAAGAAGGTCCAGTTTGCAGTGGAAAACAGTGCCAAGACTCAGGGTATTAAATTGCCTGATTTATTTGCTTATAAATTCAGTTGCTCAGTTGATTATTTTCTTTAGCAGCTTCCTCAATGATCTAGTGACAGTGTTTGAAGTTCTGAAATTTGATTCTATTAGAGTTTTGAAGCTCTAAATTTAATTATTTTTGACATGACAAGAGTAATTTCGTATAATGTCACAAATTTCACATTAGACACAACATATCGATTTTCAAATTATCGCATATACCGCAAATTGTCTATGCAGGGGCCGATGACCAAATGGCCACTGGAACGGACAACTTATTGTCTTATATGGGTTCACTTGCATTGACAGAAATGGAGTTCGATGCCAGCAATCAGGTAGACACACTGACTGCTCTCAGTCAAGACGTGAACCAGAATTTTCCAAGCATGGAGGAGGAAATTAAATTGAGGTCTGAGTGCATGAGTTCTTCTTTGTTGGCAAAAGGATGTATGGGGATTCAGGATCAGCTGAAAAATTTCAGAAACTTTTTACAGGGAGACCTGAGCCATCCCATGACTCAATCTTCAGTTGTTGGTTCAACTTGTGCTACCACCACATTAATCAATTCAGCTTCTGCTCCCATTGTTAATTCAACGATATACAATTCTCATGTCCATAAAAGAGGCGGTTCGCTAATGGGTGTAGAATCCTCGAGGGACGGTGACATGATTTCTCAACCAATGATCCAACGAGAGGCACTGCAGCTATCATACCATACATCCAAGAACAGCAGTGAAGTGTTATCTGAGCAAGCAGCCTCTGCCGCTCAAGCTCCCAGCTCTGCTGCTGGCCCAGCTGACAACCAGTTGGAAGTACAGGAATCTGAACCATCTAAGGAGCAGAAAAATAGTATGATGAAGGAATGTGACATTTCCAAAGATCGTCCTCTTCTCGATGACATCTCAATTAAAGGGCAAGCATCTGCAGGTGATGTTGCCAATGTACAATCTCAGGCTCTTTTGTCAAAAAATCCATCATCGGATGTAAAGTTAGAATCTTCCATGTCTGGAAAACAAGAAAAAGTTGCAAGTGGTAAAGCGACATCTGCACGGAAAAGAAATTATGATTCTGACTTGTTTTTCAAAGTTAATGGGAAGCTCTATCAAAGGCTTGGTAAGATAGGTAGCGGAGGAAGTAGTGAGGTCCACAAAGTCATTTCATCAGATTGCAAAATCTATGCTTTGAAAAAAATCAAACTTAAAGGTCGTGACTATGCTACTGCATATGGGTTTTCTCAGGAAATTGAATATCTAAACAAATTGAAGGGACAGAATCATATTATTCAACTCATTGACTTTGAGGTATGCATTTTAGATTTACATTTGAGCAGTTAGCAACGTTTGCTGTAGTTGTAGGTATATCGTTTGGGTGCTGTGGTACCTTTGCATTACACATATGAAGTTAATCGTGGATAACTCTTATGCATGACATATTGAAACTATATTGCATTACCTACTGATTTATCTTGCAAAAAGGAAACAATATTAGCGGCTTTAACAATGTAAGTCCTATTTGGAAAAGCTCAGTTCCGAACTGCATATTGGTGTTTTCAACTGTTAAGATGGAGGCCGGAAATCTGACAGGAATCAGGGTCTGTGTATATGCAATAACGCCCCAAACTCCTCTTCCAATTTAAAGTCTAGCCAACCAACACCTGACCAATTCTCACTTTTTCTCCATTAAGGCATATCCAAAAAATCTCTTTGTTGTTCTCTAACAAGAGAGCCTGCACGATTGGAACATATTCGATTTATTGTGATATTCTTCAGTAGGATGAATTCATCTACCCTTGCACTTTCTACTCCACCCCGTCTTTCTGAATGGTTGTCTTTGCCATATTGCATTTGTAAGCGTGAATGCTGTTCCTTCCTGCCATAATGCTTAGGACATTTCAAGTTTGAACATGTGTTATAATATTTCAATAGACTAATCACGAAATAGAAGTGTGCTAACCCTTGAAAAGATATGAATTAGTACCAGCTTGAGCAGCTTATGAGCCTACAGAAAAACAACCAAATCTGCTCATTCTACAGCAAAACTTGTATATTCAGCATAGGTGTATTGTACTCAATTAAGCTTGTCTCATTTATGGCCCTATATACACTCATCTATGATGAAATTTTAATTATATTAATTATTAGATATTTTGCTTCTCTAATTTAATAATCTATGAAATTACTCCTAACATCCATTTTCTTCTTAGGTGGCAGACAAGACTTTGCTCCATGAAGTCATGAATGGTTCTATGAGTAACAAAGATGGCAGAGTCAAGGAAGATGGATATATATACATGGTGCTTGAATATGGTGAAATTGATTTGGCTCACATGCTGTCCCAGAAATGGAAGGAACTGGATAGCTCTACTTCAACTATAGATGAGAACTGGCTTCGATTTTACTGGCAGGTTCTTAACCAACTCTTTCCCTTGCTTTACTTTTGTCTCCAGTTTTGGGTGATTGACACAAACATTTACTCTTCAACCAGAGCTTCCAAGCGTTTGGTTATCATTGGCTTTTCACCATTGAGAGCATTTGGTTTATTTTAGCGCTTAAACCCTTGTATTTAAATTACCAAGCAATGCCCAATCGATTTTCATAGTAATTTTAATCGATCTTTGTTTTCTTTTACCCCAGTTGATTTGCAACATACTTTTTGTTGGCAGATTATTCATTATTTTCTCTTTTGTCATGATATGTTTCTTTTTGGCATTTAAAAGGCTGTACATTTATTTTTACATGCTTTAAAAATTTTTGCTGATTTATTTGACTAAAACACCTCTGCAAAAGTTTCTAGATTTATGTTGTCGTTTGCTTACCATTGTCGAAATCACAGATGACTTATTTTGCAATAGGAATGTAATTGATCTAATTTTTGTAGGACATGGACAATCAAATGTCCTATATTCTATTCGATAATTGGGCTAACCATATGCATGCAAGTAACATAAATCTAAGTTTTTGGAGAGCTCCTTGTGAAAAATATGTGGAGTATTAGGTTCCATATGTAACGATAATATGAAGACACATTATGAAGACAATAATATGTTTGGATATTCATGTGCTACTTGTAAAGGGCAGTCCAATGCATGATAAGGCTCCTCTGGGGAGGATCAGATGTACACAGTCTTACCTGCAGACAAACATCCCAACGATATGACCGTCAAAAATAGTCACCCTCCACCACCATTAACCATGTCATCATCCACAACAACAGCTCCACTAAACATTCCCTCTGGAGAAAATCTTCTATTGGATTATCGATGCAAGCTTTGGAAGGGGATGTCTAATTGGTTTATCATTAATTCATAATGAAAATAGTCCGCGTTTTGCTTTGGGTTCAGTTTGGTGATTTGAGTTAACTTCAAATATTTGCTCCTAGATTTAATCAGAAAGGTAAGAATCATCATGGCATTCAATGGTGGGTAGGATATATTCATTTTTTTGGGTTTGGTACTAGTTTGATTTATTTTCTGTACAATACTGGTTTTTATTCATATTCTCTTCTAGTTGGATGGGATTGGACTTCTATTGCATCTTTGTTTGGTGGCCTGTTTAGAATATTTATTCAGTGGCCTATGGTTGAGTTCTTAACGCCATCCTAAGTGGACTTAAGGTAGGTATAAAATGAGATTGATTTTGTAATGGGGTAATAGATAACATAGTGGGGGTGGGCTTTGTAGTTTATTTTAATAAATTTAATGGGGGTAGGGATAGATATTTTTGGTGTGGGAAAAGTCCCAGCCGCATCTTACATTTTTTGGTTTCATTTCTATTCCAATTTTACCCAGAACAAGGCCCACTTTTTTTAACAATATTGGATCCTAATTCCATTAGTTAAATCAACAATACGATGTTTTGTGCACAAGGCGAAAAAGGGCAACAGTTGGAATTTGACTTATCTATTTAGAATGCTAGAGTTCTTAATTCATCTCTGTATTAATGTCTTGCTTTCTTACACTTCTTGCGATGTCCAATCTTTCTTGCATATAAAGAACTTTGCAAAGAAGATTTCTATCCCTCGAGTATAATCAATGTTTATGAAACACGGTCAACGTATTCATATTGAATACTGAATGACGTACGATATTCATGGATATTTATCAAATATGCATCACTCTTGTATAATTATTAATGTATCTGGATAATCACGAATACTTATCCAAAATGAATATGCTTTGAATATGGAAGGTACTACAAGGAACAATATGAAGAATTTTTTCTTATTTTATTATTTACCTATCGATTCACATACAGTGCAACACAGAAAAATTCATATGACTTTGAGTACACGAGTGTTTCTCGAGTATTCTCTGGTAAAAAAGCTAATTAACTCATATCTTTTGGCAACGAGTAACTCCAAGTAAACCAACTAGTTAAACGTTGGGTCTGATTCCTAAAGTTGTTTAGTTTACTTTGTGGATAAACCATAATAAGATAATATATAGTTCTTTGAAAGTGAAATTTGCTAATTCTTTGTATTGTAAATTAAGAATTTTGTGGACATTATAATTTTGAAGTCATAGGGCAATAGTAAAAGTATATAATATACTCTTTTATAGACCTATTCTGGCTGTATCACGTCTATTATTTTAGGTTTTGCGGTATCGCAATATCAGCTATTGTTTCATACCCGCATTTGTATCTGTATTAGTGCTTTCTAGACCAATGAAGAACCTAACCTTAGGAGTTTCTCAAATTGACAACCCGATCTAGGTAAACAATTAATATCTCAATGTCAATGTCCAGTCTTTCTTACATATAACAAACTTTGCACAGGAAGGTTTCTATCCCTTGACTGTCATCTAACCAATGTTAACCCTAAGCTTGTTAGTTCCTCAAAACAATTAATACAAACTAGAATAATTACCAACTGTTGTCGCTGATGCAATGGTAACGGATGAACACAAAGAAATTACTGTCTGTAAGTGCAAAGAATACATACGCTCTAAATCTACAGGAAAAAAGAAGAGAAAACTTTCAAAATATGATATTATTCAATTGATTGATTAGAACTTGTAATACATAGGACAATTTATAGAAATCCGCAAACCCCTAAAGGTTTTTCAAAATGGACCTAAATCCAAAGTATTATGAAAGTTACTAAAAACAAATAAAATACATATCTAATGAATTTAGAAAAAATTTCATGGTTTAGTCAGCTAATTACTCTTGAATATTCCTAATGAAATTATAAATTTGAGAAATAGTTAAAGAAAATAAAACTATAGAAATTGTCAGCCTCATTCTACATCATGCCCTCTTTCTTGACAAAAAGTCATCCTTGGGTTTCTATTGTTTGAAACAGCTCGATTTGTTTGTGTTGATCTGCATCTACTTTGTACTTTAAATTAATCTTCCCTAGCATATAATGAAACCTTAGCATGACCTTCAAAACTTCAACCCCATATTCTTCTAAATAAGATTCAATAAGCTCTCCAACATCACCATAAGTCTACTCGCATTTTTCGTAGTCTTCTATATCTTTTTTATTTGGACCTCAAGTTGATTGTTTCGATTTGAACTCACTTTGTTGCGTCATAGATCGATACACACCACATTCTTCAATATCACTAGAACTTGCAATAGGTGCCACTCGAAAAGGCATAACACGGACATTCTGTCTCATAGGATAGACATGATTACGATCTCGAAGGGGTTGAAAACAAGTGCTATCGTTGTTTTGTATCCTATCTCGATCGGGATCTTGGTTTGGACCCAACATCAATTGAAATTCTTATCATTCCTTGAATTCTTGAATGATAAATTCATTGGATTTTTTGAAGGTGTAAACTGTAAGCTATTAAGTGAGCATCATTGTTGCTGGGAACTGCTCGAGCATATTTAATTAAAGAAAACTATTACATCAATCAACCTAGACTGCCTTGAAGTTGGTTGTGAGTGGGGGAAGTAGTGCTTTCTAGTTGCTGAAGGGCTGAGAAATGTCATATTGTTTGCTCCAGGGAGCTCAATGTTGTCTCCTATTAGCTTGTACATCCTTATTTACCTTAGTCTGTGTTGAATGGCAAGATAGATAAAGCTGAATTGCAAAAATTAACTGCATATATCAATGTTCACTACTTTATTGTATGATTTGTCTCCCATCCTGACTAGTTTGAGTTAAAATTCTTGTAATTATTTCTTGTGACCATGGACTTAATTGACTCAATTGCGGTTTCTATGATTTCGTTCTAGATGGTAGCAGACTATGATAAATAACTCACTGGTTCCTTGGTAATTTGTCACAAGATCATACATTCTTTTTAAATTTGCTGTTTATGTTCCAACTCAAATTTGTTTATCATCTGTGACACCGAATATACTTCTATATTAATCGCGAAGTGAGATGCCCTAAAACCCTTAGACAAATGGATTAAATATTATTGTAATTCCCATGAATATCTAGCTCTATCGATTAAGAGCAAAATGTATTCAGTTCAAGATATTAGTGTCTAAGTGTATTCTTAAGTTACACCTCTCCATTAGTTTAAACTTCTTGGTGGTTTAACATTGTACCAGTGCAATAGGTCTTATGCTTGAATCTCGTTTCCACCTCCATAATAAAAGCTTTCACATGATAGTCTCAAAATCTAGCCTGTGTATATACTTGAACTACTCCCTCTATACCAGCTGAAGCTTTTAGAACAGATGATGATTTAACAGTGTCTTTGTGGTTCTATTTTGAAAGAAACTTTAACCTAGTTCCTTCAAAAATCTCCAATATTTTGATGAGAATGTGATTTCTACTTGCTGACCACTTTTTTTTTTTAAGTCAAAAAGAAGGTCACAACTATTGTTGTTGGAATTGGATTTGTTGCATAATAATGAGACAGTTTGTAAAAATTCAAATGCCGTAGATTATTGAGTAGATTGAAAATAAAATATGTTTGTCTTAAACTCTTTTAATATTTTATGTATGCATAGAAATTTAATGGCTAGTGAATCATCCATTGGTTAAAGCTTTTACATTTGGTTTCTGGTTTTACTACTACATTTGGTGATTGTGCTCCGGTGAGCTCTTGCATTGAGTTGTCCCATCCTTCTCTGAACAAATTGAAATGCTCTTGGGCAAGTAAGCAGGGGCCATGCCCCTCTCTTTAAGTTCCTGCTCCCTTGTAAACTTCATTTGAAAAGGTTCAGTTTTTTTTTGCTTGCAATGTTGTCAGAGCAGCGTATATTAATGACAGATCAATGTTCTCTACGAAGATGAATATACACTCCAGTCATGGCAATTCCACCTACGTGTCTCTTGCCTCCTACACATTGGTGTCTCATTATCCATCACCAGCACCTACCATTTCCAGTAACACCAGCAATGCTGTCACCACCTTGTCATCATCAGCACTCCAATTATATCCCCTTTTTTTTTTCTCTATTTTAGCAGTCTAATAATTCCCACAACCATTAAAGCCATCATCTCCACCATGACCAGCTCCATTACTTAGCATAGTCAGTCTTTGAGACCTAGATTGATTCATTCCTTACTAACCGATTCAGCTTTTGAAATCATCCATTTGGACAATAACTTCAACTGCTCATTAAAAGATTAGAACCTAAAATGGAACATCTGGAAATTATAATAAGACGATTAGTGAACTGACTCGGATAAGCTCCATCAATAGTTTCACATATAATGTTATGTCATCAAGAGTCAAGACAGACAAAATTGGAAAAAGAGAGAAAAAAAACCTTGTTGCAGTAAAGTAGAGGTGAAAAAACCTATAAATTATCATCTTCATCTCAACCATAGAAATTTAAGGTACGGATCCAATAGTAGGATTCAAATCTTATGTACAATGAGGTTGTTGATTCTCTCTCTCTCTCTCACTAGTGGAAAAATGAGGAACAGAGGTGATGTGGTTGTCTTAGAGCTTAGTGGTAGTTTAGGTTTAGTTTGGGACTTGGACTTGTATTTAGTGAAATTAAATGGTGGCTATGCTAAGACAGTAATAGTATAGCTTGTTTTTTGGCTCGCTCGAGTTCGCTTGTATTACAAAACAAGTCGAATCTGAACTAATTTTTAGGCTCATTTTGTTTATTTGTACAAAAGATACATGTAAATTATTAAGAATAGCAAGGTTACTTTAGGAAAATTAGTAAATATTGAAATCCCTTTTAAAATAACTTATGTCAAACTACCACTTTTTTTTTTAATAGAGTTCATATGGGTTCCCACCCCCCACTCCCCTCTCTCTCTCTTTCTTCCCACACCTTGAGCCACGAACCCCCTCTCTCTCTTCCCACCTCTTCTTCCTTACCCCTCTGTCTCTCATTCTTCAAAGACCTCGCCTCTCTCGATCTCTAATCTCTCACCAACGCCACCATTCCTCCCATCAACACGACCATTCCTCAACCGAAGTCCTAGATCAAATTATTGTTATCTAAGGTCGTCCTAAGTTGCAAATGTAATTTTTTTTTTTTTAGATTTATAATTGTTCAAAGCTAGGATTTGTATTTTGATTTAGATTTTTGTGAAATATGTAAAATTTATTGTTTGGATTTTTTTTCTTAAATTACTAGTTACGAATTTGCAGACTTGTGGATTTAGATCTTGTCGATTTGGGAATTATTTGGGAGTTCGTTTTTAGCTCAAGCAAGCCCAAACCGAGCTTGAGCAATAATTTAGACTCGGTGTCCAAGCCTAAGTCAAGCTTGAACACCCCTTAAAAAATTCAAGTCAAGCTTGAGCAAACCGAAGCTCGATAGGCTCGGCTCGATTAACACCCCTAATTGAGAATTGGGATATCCCAAGAATGAACATGGAGATATTATGTTTTTGAATTGAAAAATATCATAACTGCGCAAATAATGACCAGGGTTGAAACAATGTTTTGGGGGAGAGAGAGGGAGGAAGGAGATAATGGACGATGATGACTGGAAATGAGGCACTGACATGGAGAAAGGGAGAAAGAAGTTGGGCAATCAAACTGGTGAGAAATGAGGGATAAATGCTTGGGAGGACTCTTTTCGGTAAATAAAGCTTGGTTGCTAGGGGGACTTGTTCTGATGGAACAGTATATTCATCTATTTAGAACTTATTGCTTTGGCAATAATACCAGCCTTATTTGCTGCATAAAAAGTATTTCAAAAATATTAAAGAATTTCCTCCCCCGCCCGGGAGGAAAAAAGAAATGGTTTTAATAGAATTTCGCAGCATCTAATACCGGCATACCTCTAGAAACGTTATTTAATGATTTAAGCGATTTCTAAAAATGCTCCTTGCATAAATAAAAGAAGTGAAAACATGACACTTTTCTATGTCCATTTTATTTTTAATAAAGTAGTTATGCTTGATGGTTCCAAATTTTAAAGTGAAAGACTTTAACAACATGTGTTTTACGTGTTTTTAATTTTCTCAGTTTTTGGATTCTAATAATCTTAGAAACCAAAATAATCTAATAAACACTTGCTTCGAAGTACGAAGCTTTGGCTGAGATGGAAATGGTCAGAAACCACCACTCACAGTGGGCAGAAGAATTATTAGATTTGCCACTGCATTGTGGACTCCTTTTATATATAGAGTTCTGTGCTTGAACTCTGCAAGATAGAACAACATTGAGGGGAACAAGAAATATGCATTGCTAGTCTGCCGTTCATCCTTATTGTCATTCATGCTGGTGGTGTATGTAACTTTACTAATACGTTGGCAAGCAGGTTAATCTTGTGGATTATTCTCAAGAAGTCTGATTTTACCTTTTTTAAAAACCTGGCAGCAAATACTTCTTGCTGTTAACACCATACACGAGGAACGTATAGTACACTCAGACCTGAAGCCAGCTAATTTTCTTCTTGTCCGAGGTTCGCTAAAGCTGATTGATTTTGGCATTGCAAAAGCTATAATGAGTGATACAACTAATATTCAACGGGATTCACAGGTAACTACACTTCCAACTTCCTTTCTTTATTGGGAATTAATGACATAGACTACAAATTTTCTCCTGCTGGCTTCTCAAGTGGCTTCACACATGGTGCCACATCAAGAGACAGATGCATTGCTGATTATAGCGGCAAAATGCCGAAAGTATCCCAGAATCAAACTTTTTCCATTTGGCAAAATAAACCCCAGCTGTATGAAGCTTACATGGCACATTGTGACTGGTCATATGATGAAGGGGTTCATCTAGGATATAGGGTTCTTTTACTGTCTTTTTATATGGTAATATGCTGTTGCAGGTGGGTACACTGAGTTACATGTCTCCGGAAGCATTCATGTGCAATGAGACAGATGCAAATGGAAACACCATAAAGTGTGGACGTCCATCGGACATCTGGTCACTTGGTTGCATCCTTTATCAAATGGTGTATGGAAGAACACCTTTTTCAGAATACAAGACCTTCTGGGCAAAGTTCAAAGTCATAACCGACCGAAACCATGAAATTATTTATGAACCAGTTTCCAATCCATGGCTTCTTGATCTTATGAAGAAGTGTCTTGCATGGGAGCGGACTGAAAGATGGAGGATTCCTCAGCTACTTCAACACCCTTTTCTTGTTCCTCCAATCCCAAGTCAATTATCTTTCCCTCATGACCAGAGCTGTAAACTGCTTCAGGTAATTGCTGAATCTTGTTCAGATGATCAAAAAGCTTTGAAGCTATGTTCTCAGCTGCAACAATTACTAAAGGATCCAAGACCGGGAGGAACATCTCACGTATCAATATCACAAGATGAACAACGTAAGTTGCTTTGTGAAATATCAAACCTTTGCTTTCAACTCCAGGAACAATTATCAAACTTTGAGAGGGATTAGATAACTGATATTAACACACCAGCATCGGCAGGCTTGTGTCTTTTAGATTTGGGCGGATTTGGTGCTTGGCAATTCGCCAAGCAGCTTCTTCAATCCTGTTTGTAGAATTTTTGTATGATTTATCGTGTTATGTTGAAAAGGAAAGGACTGTAGCAAGTGGCTGGTGCATTTAATCTAGCACTTATGTCGTGGCTGCATGAGGTTCCTGTAATCTCTTCAACTGATGTATATACATCGTTGAGTTCTGGAAAATCAATGTAAAAATTGGCCTGTGTGAATAAATACCAAGTCCATTCTGTTCTGATTATCTAAGGGCATTCTACAATCTACTTTAAAAAGTTGTAGATACATGCGAAAATCAAATTTAATGTTTGTTGTATGCATTAGGGTTTACTATAGCCGCACGGAGCCAATGGCAGGAGTTTTGAATTCTGGACTCTCAAAAATATGTTTAGAACATTACAGGTACTGTTTGTTTCTATGTACTTCTTTTAGTGTAGTATCTAATGTTTGCTGGATGCATTACAATTTCACTCCGGCCTCATGTGTCTTACAATAGAAACTGGTCATATGGCGATTGTTGTTTAGTGGTGTGATACAAGAAGTAAATAGATGCCTTGAGAAAATACGGCATGGACCAGTATAAGACTCTCAATTGTCTTACTTTATATTATAGGGAGAATTACAGATGGATTTCTTGAAATTTGTCATTTAATCGACCCTGACATTTGAATTTGAATTATTACATATAGATTTCATAAGGTTTGTACGCGTGTAATACTTAGACCTTTGTCGCTAATGTTCTTTAGTAAATTATATCTAAATTTTTTGAACTTTGTAAGCGTATAATATTTAAATTCCTCAAATTTAAAATGTTATACTTAGATCAAAAATATTTTAATAAAAAATAAAATATCAAATATTTTAAATATTACAATTAAAATTCATGTCCTATTATATTATTTATTGAAATAAAATCACAAATAAAAATCTAATTTTTTTTAAAAAAATCGTAATTAGTATATAATTATATTATCTATTGGAATAAAACTAAAAAAATCAAACAAGGGATCTAAGTCATTCATAATAAAACGTGCATTTTACAATTAAAATTCATGTTCAATTATGACATTTATTGAAATAAAATTAAAATTAAAATTTTAATTTTTTTTAAAAAAAAATCATAATTAGCCTAAGTGGTGAATTACACTGAAACACCTAAGAACTTGATTTATCTCTTTGTTATACGATTTTCTCTTACTCTCAATTCATATTTAGCCAAAAAAAATGATATCCACTCTTAAAATTTGCAAGTTTTTTACTTAGTGAACACCCATTTAACCAAATGTTTGTGTTGTGTTTCATTGAGGAGGATTAATAGGATTTCTCTAGCTATGTCTTGTGGGGTGTAAACTATATCTCCAAATATTAGAATCATAAGCAAAATCTAAACAAAACAAAAGGTGCAAAAGAAGAAGTTTATTGTTGAAAATGAAAAAGGACAAAGTGTCAAATTCTTCGACCTTGTCTTCAACACATTAACAACCAGATTTTTTAAAGGTTTAAATGACGGCGAGAAGTGAAGTTTTATATGAAAACACAATCCGGCCGTCGGAGCAATAGATGGTGGAGATTTGTTGTGTTCATGCATCATTTTGATGTTGGACATGATGACAATGTATTCAGAACCGAAGAAATAAGGGTTAATCATAAAACATACCTCAAAAAATTGTTCGAATTTTAATTTATACTTTTAAAGATTAAAAATTTCAATATGCACCCTTAAAGATGTATTTAAAGCTAACAACACTTGCCGACTTAAATTAAATTGATAAAATATACTTAGATCTCCTTATATTTGTCACTTAATCAGTTAGACCTCTCACATTTGAATCCAAATATGACTAAAAATGTTCTTCCAGCAATTGGACATTCAAATAATTCTGTTTAAGTGATGTATTACATTAGATATAAAGAACATTATATAAATTCTTGAATCATATTGAATATTCAAATGGTAAACCTGATTTTGAACTTTAAAATATTATGGGCCCACAAAATAAAGGGTAGTATAAAAATTATAAGTTTTTATTTGGATGAAATTATGTTTATTAACTGTTATATTAACAAATATTATCGACAAAAGGTATGTGTTACACGTACATAAACGTTAGGAAATGTATGAGTAATATTCTAAATGTGAGGGGGTCCAAATTATTAAGTGACAAACTTGAGGGGGTCTAGGTATAACTTACCCAATTAATTTGAGATGATAAACTAACGACTGTTAGTTTCATATACGTATTTATACAAATTTATGTCTTTGAAAGTATAAGTTGAGATTTTTTTTTTTTGAGGATACAAATTAATATTCGAGAGATCTTTTGAGATATAAATTATAATTAACCTAAAAAATAATATAAAGTTTAATCTCGAATCATTTGATCTGGAATTTTTGATCATGTTTCTCTTCTTCTCCATCAATATTGAACAGAGAGAGAAGGGGCGCCGGGGGGGGGGGGGGGGGGGCGGGGATAAACTCAAAATTGAAAAAAAATATTATTCAAATTCAAAATTTTTCTTAATAAAAAATGTTGGCAAATAATGGATTTGGCAACAATTCTGGATGATACACTCTGCTGGGTATTCAACCAATAAAAAATAGTAGTTTTCTTACTTTGTAACATAGCTAACAAGTAAGGCTAACGTGTTTAACAAGTAAGGCTTACGTGTTTTTTATTTTTTATATATTTATATTAGTTAATGTTTATACTTAAAGATACAGAGTAATAAAAAAAAATAATTAATAAAATTAAATTACAACATAGAGGAATGAGAAATGAATTTAACCACTAGTTATAATGGGGTGAGTGGTAGTAATGGTGGTGTTGAGAGACAGTGATGGTGATAGTTATGGTGGATGGCGACGACTATGGTGATAATGACAGTTGTGGGTGGCAATAGTGACGATGATGGTGAATTTTGGGTGACGATGATGATAGTAACAACCATGATTAATGGAGACGATAATAATGGTTGATAGTAGTGGTGGTAGGACGACGACGATGGTAATAGAAGCGATGGATTGTACTAGTGGGCGGTGACGATGGTGGTAGTGGGAGACGCAGGTGTTTTTGAGTGATAGTGTAATGGTTGGTGGCGAATGATGGTGGTGGTAGGGGTGGATGATAGTGGCTAGCAACGACAGGTGATGGTGGGGTTGTGATAATGGGTGACAGTTGGCGGTGGTGGGCGTGTGTTGAATATGGATGATGGTGGTAATAAGAATAAATATAAAAATGAGATGACGATGGTAGTAAGTAACAATGGTGGACGATGATAGTAGTAATCGGTGGTGAATGACAATAGTAGAGGTGGTGGCGGTGGCAATGAGAGTGGTGGTGATATAGGTGATGATGGGGCAGGGGGTGGTGGTGGTAGTGGTAGGGTGGCAACAGTTGTGATAATGGGGGGTGACGACAATGGTGGTGGTAGTGGGGGGTGGTTGTGGTGATGGTGTTGGGGGTGGTGGTGGAGCAATAGGGGTGACAGTGGTGGTAGAGTGGTGATGGTGGTGGTAATAGCGATGATTATGGGGTGGTGGTGGTGGTAATGAGACAATTTCAAACACTAATTTTTTATTTTTTAAAGTGTTGATGTAAAATTATAAAATTTAGAAGTACTTTTAAAAAGTCAATTCAAACACACATTAAAAGCCTATTTTCCAGTTAAATTTAAAGTGTTAATATTAACTATCAGATTAACTTTAAGTAAAATTTAAAGATATATCAATAACAAAAAATAACAATCATTTTATTTATTTTTTTAAATTTAAATTATATTAAAATTTATTATATAAATATTTGTTTTAATTAGACTAACAAACATCACTACGCTAATCCTATAAATCTAACTCTTCTCTTATACTATAAATTAAACTGTTCGGGTATATAGTAAAGTAAACCAAAATAATATACTTTTGCTATTCTCTTTCTCGCTCTCTAAAAATAATTGTGATTTAAGGATGCTCCTGAGGAGTTCATCGACTCCGATCTTGAATTCATGGATAGCCAATTCGGCAGGATCATCACCGGATTTGGTTCCTCGGACAAGATCGGTTACTCCTCTTTCTCTCTCTAAAATAATTGTGATTTAAGGATGCCCAGGAGTTCATCGGCTCTGATCTTGAATTCATGCATAGCCAACTCGGCTGGATCATCACCGGAGTCTGATTTCGTTCTTCGGCATTCTAGGACAAGATCAGTGTCTTTGACGACGGCCTTTGGTTCTGATGATCACCAACTGAAGAGTCCGGCAACACGATCATTATCCGAGTTGGACCTCCGAGACCCACAGGTGCCGAAGAAGAACAACAGTACAAGTACCAAACCACCCACTACTCCGAAGCCAGCTAATGTTAAAGAGAACGGAGAACAAGAGGTAGGTCGGCCACGTTTGTCGAGGACGGTAGAGAGGTTGTTGTTGTCGAGCTCTGGGTTGGGTGAGGCTGATGAGGAGGGGTGTGTGACGGTGGTGGAGAAGGAGAGGGATAGGGTGTTGTAGACTCTGGTTGTGGGTGGTGGAGGTGGTAGTGGAAAAGGATCGGACGGTGGAGATAGGTCTGGTTCTGGGTCCTATGACGATTCTAACGGTTGGCATGGTCATGACAGTACGGACGCTTATTGTAAGTGGATGATCAAGGCAAACCCTGGAAATTCTCTTACTCTCAAACTATGCCAAGTTCTTGAAAGAGGTTAGGGGAGATTTAGCTAAAGCAGAGGAGTATTGTGGGGGAGCAATATTGACTATCCCGAGTGATGGCAATATGTTGTCACTCTATGCTGATCTGATATGGCAGACACAGAGAGATGCTACCCGTGCTGAGAGTTATTTCCATCAAGCTGTTAAAGCTGACCCTGACGATTGTCATGTTCTAGCATCAAATGCTCGATTTATCTGGGATGCTCAAGAGGAAGAAGAAGAAAGAGACCAATATGGCA